AGTGGAGAAAGTTTAAGAAGGCCTAGTCTATGGGACTGTTTGACCATTCTTCCAGAAGCGCATTTGTGAGGTCAGGTACTGATGTTGGACAAGAAGGCTTGGCTCGCAGTCTCCGCTCTAGTTCATCCCAAAGGTGTTCTATCAGGTTGAGGTCAGGACTCTGTGCAGGCCAGTCAAGTTCCTCCACCCCAAACTCGTTCATCTATGTCTTTATGGATCTTGCTTTGTGCACTGGTGCGCAGTCATGCTGAAGGGGCCATCCCCAAGGTTGGGAGCATGAAATTGTTCAAAATGTCTTGGTATGCTGATGCCTTAAGAGTTCCCTTCACTGGAACGAAGGGACCAAGCCCAACCCCTGAAAAACAAATCCACACCTGAATCCCCCCTCCACCAAATTTTACACTTGGCACAATGCTGTCAGGCAAGTAATGTTCTCCTGGCAACCGGCAAACCCAGACACGTCCATCGGATTGCCAGACAGAGAAGTGTGAATCGTCACTCCAGAGAACATGTCTCCACTTCTCTAGAGTCCAGTGGCGGCGTGCTTTACACCACTGCATCCAACGCTTTGCATTGCATTTGGCTTGGATGCAACTGCTTGGCCATGGAAACCCATTCCATGAAGCTCTCTACGCACTGTTGTTGTGCCAATCTGAAGGCCACACAAAGTTTGAAGGTCTGTAGCTAGTAACTCTGCAGACAGTTGGCGACTTCTGTGCACTTCAGCATGCGCTGGCCCCGCTCTGTCATTTTACGTGGACTACCACTTTGTGGCTGAGTTGCTGTTGTTCCCAGTTGCTTCCACTTTGTTATAATACCACTAACAGTTGACCATGGAATATTTAGTAGCAATGAACTTCACGGAACACCTATATCCAATGTTTTGGAGGGGTGTCCCAATACTTTTGGTAATATAGTGTATCTTGGATAGGCCCTGCTTCTTCCATTCCCTTTTATAGAAAGGCTGTCCCAATGGTTGACTGTCTTTCCATAGGTTCCATGGAGTTTCTTTTTTGACTGGTTGGAAGAGATAGAGTATAGCCTAGAGACTTTCAGAGAGGAGACTGCATGACTCTCAGCTGACTGCTCAGTAAGGATCTCAGAGGAGTGAGGACAGGTAAGTTAAACACTTGAGGGCTCTTCTCGAGTGGGGGACATTTGAAGAATAACTGTACTAACAGTTTAAAAGCCATTCAGAAATCCATCCGGTCCTTTTTAGAAGCAATCTATTGAGTTGGCTACAATCAGCTCCTGAAGGAGGTTATTACACATTTTTTACAGCTCTTTAAAGAACTCTTTCCATATGTGGAAGTTAAATCTATTTTCCTCCAGGAGCTAAGAGTGCCCTTATCTCTTTTGTGCTGATCTTAAAGAAAACAGGTTTCCACTGACCATTTTTTACTTTAACTAAATTACGCTCAACATTAGGGTATTTTGTTAAGAAATCAATTAACAGTAATAGTTCACACACTTCATTCTACTAATACAAATATTATGAGAAACAAATATAGTGCACACCTGAGGGTAGAGTAATTTATAAATGAATATGTGGGCCAACACGCCATATCTATGCACCACATCCCCAAAAAGACTTTGTTACCTATAACATAGAACTATAATAAATGTGATATATGAGTCTCTTTGGGTGCTAATTCATTGATTATTTGTATTATGTTTGCAGCAATAAAATGTGTATTTTCATAACAAAGAGCAAAGCAATTGTCCACATTTTACATTCCACACCCATCTTTTTCTCATTGTTTAAAACCTTGCCAACTCTACTTTAAACCTTTGTAACCATAACAGTTCATTGGACTCTCATCAACACATCTTATTTTGGGTCTCACCGACATCTGGCTGTCCCATACACTCCCAGTGTGATAGTCCCAGGACTGCACAGGAAATACCGTTCTCAGCAGCTTTCCTCAGCTCCAAGCCTTCTAGTATTCACCCCTCGTGGGTCACTGTCCCTCTCTGTCTCCCCGACAGGTATCTCAGGGTCACCGACCCTCTGGACCTCTCCAGCCTTCCTGGCGGTGTCCCTTGTGCTCACGCACGCAGCAGAGTCTGCCAGTCGTCATGTGCCTCTTGCATACCCACAACTCTCCTAAAGCACTGGGCTGGCTTCCTAATAAGGCTGCTCTCAGCCACCTGATCAGCTCAACCTGGCCACTGGCAACACTTGGCCCTAGGACTGGAGATCCCATCCCACTATAGTCTGGAAAACCTGGAAGGAATTGAACAGCCAGTTCCTCCTAGACAAAAGAGAAAAAAAGGACGCCCAACCTGGTGCAGATAATCCTTTTAATTTAAAATAGACACCATAAACAAAAGTACAAGGGTACTCACAATGGTAGGTCAAACAACTGCGTATATGGATGATTTCAGAGAAACAGCAGTTGCAAGACTGCAATCTGTCTGTGTGCCACTGAGTTGTGACGTCGTTGACGCGTTTCCGGGGTCACGCTCCCTTCTTCAGAACATCGCAACTCTTGCATACCCACAACTCTCCTAAAGCACTGGGCTGGCTTCCAATAAGGCTGCTCTCAGCCACCTGATCAGCTCAACCTGGCCACTGGCAACACTTGGCCCTAGGACTGGAGATCCCATCCCACTATAGTCTGGAAAACCTGGAAGGAATTGAACAGCCAGTTCCTCCTCTCTAAAGGTATTCACATTGTGGAACCTCTCAGCCCCTCTGGCTGAGAGTCCTGGGCGCCAAAGTTGCCATACTACACCATGGCATTGCCATGCACCGCCACACTATGTATACATAATGACATGAACACACACATTTTAATTTTTAGAAAAAACAAAGCGACACTAAATTCAACAATTAAATAATCAAATTAAGATCTATTATATAATCATTTAATAGACTAGCTCAATTTTGTATTATTTATCTTTAAATGCTTTAAAAAACGATTTGTTTCTCCTATTTAATAACTTCCTGCCAGAGGGTGGCTACTTTTCTTCTCCTTGGTCCCTATGGGCGCTGAAAAGTAGCCACCCTCTGTGCTCGCTGCTACTGTGAACTACAACTTGACGTGAGGATGCATGAAGCACCCTCACGTCTCCTCTGTCGATTCCTCCTGTCTCTGTAATGAACCAGGCCCATCTGGTTGGGGTTGGACTGGATCTCAGCTTAAGTATTGGTGGAGCCGATTGAAACGTAATGCGTTTCTAAGTTAAGCAATCTGGTAAAGTCAGTGGAAGGAGGTAGAAGGTTGTAGCAGGTCATTATCTGGGGGAGCACTATATCAATAACCCGGTATTTTGTGGCATAAGGTACAGATACAGTCTTTATCCCATAGGAAGTAATTGCTTTGAAACAGTCAATTGAGTAAGGTTTAAACAGCTGATGCTATATACTTGCAGTTTATGAGGATTCGGTCCCACAGTGCCACCCGGAGGCTATTAAATGAATTGCTAGTTTTCCCATGCAAAGTGAATCATTGCTGCGGAAGTTACTGGAAGAAGTTTCAGTATGCCCGGGTTGAGTGGGAGGAAGTGGCCGCTGAGGCCAGATAGAAGGGACACTCGTCCGGCCCAATAGTAATAGATTTGGTGCGGAGACTAGGAGGTTCTTGGCTGGCGTACTACAAACTTGTACGAACACCAGGCAACTGAACCCGTACGCTTTAAGTAGAGGAAGGGGGAGGAGCCGCCTGACGCCTTTGCCGATGACATCGCTGGTTCCCACCGACGGAGCCGAGGGAAGACCCGGAAACGGAGGACAGGTAAGTTTGTTAGTCTCCTCCCTCCAATCCTTCCCATCTACATTCTGCCCGCTCAGTGGAAGGTGCACATGTCAGCCCTAGAGGCTTACCTCACAAACTAAATCCTCTGTGATCGGGTATGGAGGAGTGAGGACAGAAGAGGGAGGAACCAGTCTGTAAATAGACACGGATGCAGTGGGAGCACTGCACGCCGGGCCTGATGTGAAATGTAGTGAAGGAGAGTGGCGCACTCACTGAAATTTTGTGCACTGCGGTAGGAGAGTGGTAGGAAGTAGAAGAAAAATGGAGGAGTGGCGGGAGCACGCCCAACACTTTTTCTAATGAAAAATAAGGTAAAAAGGAAACCTGAAAGTAGAAATAAAAGCTGGCTTATGTTAAGGGCTAGAAGGAGCGCACTGTTAATTGTTACACCAGTTGCCTAAAAACGTGCACCACAAGACATGATTTCCTACATGATACTACTACTGTAGTTTGCCATTAATCAATGGATTTTACAGCCCTAATATAACTTCATGATGATTGCAGATAAGTAACATATAAATTGTTAATCACAATCGTTTAAAGTAAGTCAATGTTTCAATATAGCAATGTAATAACTGTTTACACTTGCTGACTGTTCTGGTGATTCAGGCAGGTTGTTAGAGTTAGTAGAGCTATGATTGTCATCTTAGAGCTATAATTGTCATCCTAAACCAATGTGGAAGCATTAGATATGATCATGATTTCTTTAAAGGCTCCAGTGGCCATCTTGGAAGAAGGCAAAGCTGACCCAGACCTACCCTGTTACCCTGTGCAGTAACAGTCCCTGCAAAAACATTCTTGTTGTTGTTGATAACAGTGAGCAACAGATCATGAAGTACATAATGCAGACTGAATTAAATTCTCCTCAGTGAATCTAAACTAACCACACCCCAATGAAGAAAAAAGTTTAAAACTGATTAAAAAGTAAAACATTAAAAAACAGAAACTTAACGTTAAAAAAATCCACCCATGACAAAAAAAATTAAAGACATAAGAATATTTTTATGCTATTGTTTACAGCCTGGATGCCAGGTCTTTAAGTGGTTACATTGTATTTAATGTTACAAACCAACCTAGGTTTTTACATGCAAGTAAAGGCAGGTGCCAAAACACAGAAACTCACATGAAACTACTGCAGCATCTAGAAGTTAACATTTTTGGTCCCATGCAAGGGGCAGTAAACTGATATTAACAGAATGTTTGAAAATAAAAACAAAAAGAAGAAAATGTGAACCTTACTGTTGCCAATTCATCAAACTTCCCAAAAAGTTCATTTAACAGCTTTACCAGCTCTTGTGCTGTACACTGGGATGCCAAGCTTGTGAAACCAACAATATCTGCAAATAAAATGCTGGAATAAAAAAATAAATAGTATTTACACAGCTGAAATTGTATGATTGTGAACCAATAAGTTTTTGCTAATTGATCATTGAATTTCAACCCAGATATAAAAATGAATAATACATTTATGGTACACATTTCTAAATTTAAAATTTAGAAAGTTTTGAGTTTAGGCAATAATCTTTATTGTCTAACTTACAGTAAGTTGTTAAACATGTAAGCTTTTTTGATGTCTTGTATACTATACAATTATAAAGCCTGAAAAAGGCATCCCAGAAGCGTACATGTTTAATAGGTTAGCCAATAATGGGTATCACTTAAATTCAAAACCTTAAATGGATAACACACTACAATAATCTACTACAGCTAAATTTCAAATGTAAATTTAAACCTTAGGCAATGTTATCAACAAATTCTTTATAACATTTATAAATTATACATAACAGAGCAAGAAATGGGAATGTGAAAACACAGATGATTGAGCAATAGTAAAAGATGTTGCTTTATTGTTATAATTTTGTGTGCATTATGTATATTTTTAAAAAGCTGTCCTGAAAATATCACAATTCCTCTTTTGTCTAAAGGGCTCTGAATGATGAGTACCTGAGATCTTGAGAGCGAAGTACAAAAACATATAAGCAATTATGCCTACCAAGAATCTGTTCTGATTAGAAGCAGAATTGAAAATTAAATTTACGATGATGGAGTACCAAGAATATGAAGGATTTACCACACAACCCGACTGTAAAACATCTTTCTTTGTTTATTAAACGGCACAGGGTACAACATTTCGAGAAAGCCATTAAAATAAGACCTGTATCCTGTGCTACTTAATAAACTAAGAAATACGTTTTCCAAAGTTCAGCTGTGTGTTGACTCATTCATATTTTTTAGGCAAAGGGGTTGATTTACTAAAGGTAAATTAGCTGTTCACTTTGCAGGGGAAGTTTGCCCTGAGTTTAGTGAATGTGGTGAACCTCTGCTCACTTCCATCACCCAATCACGTGCAAGCAAAAATACTGTACTGTTTTTGGCTGATGATTCACCACATTCATTAAGCTAAGGGAAACTTCCTCTGCAAAGTGAACATTTCTTTGCAAAGTGAACAACCTTTTTGCCTTTAGTAAATCAATCCCCTAGAAATAGAGCAATAGATATATGCTGATCTCCATTCCTTAAAGTCACAACCATTTTCTTTATAACCTTATAACCCAAAATGGACTACTTTGAAAGCATTCATGTCACTGTCAGCAATGAAGTCCACATGTGGAAAATAATGATTTGATCCCCTGCTGACTTTGTAAGTTTGCCCACTTACAAAGAAATTAAAGGTCTATAATTTTTTATCATAGGTGTATTTTAAAGGATAGAGACAGAATATCAACCAAACATCCAGAAAAAAACATATGATACAAATGTTATAAATTGAGTTGCAGTTCAGTGAGTAAAATAAGTATTTGATCCCCAAGCAAAACATGACTTAGTACTTGGTGGAGAAACCCTTGTTGGCAAGCACAGAGGTAAGACGTTTCTTGTAGTTGGTTACCAGGTTTGCACACATCTCAGGAGGGATTTTGGTCCACTCTTCTTTACAGATATTCTCTAAATCCTTAAGGTTTCTTGGCTGTCGCTTGGCAACTCGAAGTTTCAGCTCCCTCCATACATTTTCTATTGGGTTAAGGTCTGGAGACTGGCTAGGCCACTCCATGACCTTAATGTGCTTCTTCTTAAACCACTGCTTTGTTGGCTTGGCGGTATGTTTTGGGTCATTGTCATGCTGAAAGACCCATCCACGACCCATCTTCAGTGTTCTGGCTGAGGGAAGGAGGTTCTCAGCCAAGATTTTACAATACATGGCCTCGTCCATTGGCCCCTCAATGCAGCAAAGTCGGCCTGTACCTTTAGCAGAGAAACAGCCCCAAAGCGTAATGTTTCCACCTCCATGCTTGACTGTAGGAATGGTGTTTTCTCAGGGTTGTAGTCAGCATTTTTCTTCCTCCAAACACAGTGAATCGAGTTAATGCCAAAGAGTTAAATTTTATTCTCATCTGACCGCAGCACTTTATCTATATCCTTCTCTTAATTATGTAGATGTTTATTGGCAAACTTCATATGGGCCTGTACATGTGCCTTCTTGAGGGGGACCTTGCGGGCGCTGCAGGATCTCATTCCATGTCGGTGCATTATGTTACCAATGTTTTGTTTGGTGACTGTGGTCCCAACTGCATTGAGATCATTCACAAGCTCCTCCCGTGTAGTTCTGGGCTGATCCCTCACTTTTCTCATGATCATCCTTACCCCATGAGGCAAAGTTTCAATTTGGTAGAATCTAAACGTAAATGGTTTCTGTTGTAGTCTATCCTTAGAAACCATTCTCTGCTTTGTAAATCACGTGCCCTGGATGCACCTTGTATAAAATATTTATTTGAAAAACAAATAGTTAAAAGAAAATGTATATACTTTTAAAATTACAGATATTGTAGTATCCTAGCATAGGAGAAAATAACTATATTGTGTAAAGAAACTTGTTAAAAGTCAAGACAGAGTAGTTGTATATGGAACATTAACAAAATGTATTGAAAGTAGATCTTGCAGTTTCTAAATACTTTAAAATGCAGGCCAATGACATACACCATAGCCACATACATTATTTGAAAAATTGTGTAATAGGGTACCTAGACAGGTTGAAAACATCTCCACCATTTATTTTTGGATATCTACACTTACTAAAAAACTGCCATACATGCTAATGTGGGATTGAAGAGAAGTTGTATATATGAACGGTTTAATGTGGTTTCCATGTATGTTTAAATGATCCAATTATGGTTTGCTTTATACCTCATTTGTGAATAAAATGTCAAAGCATTTTCCCTCTAGTGCTTGGTCCCTAAAGGCCTAGCTTCCATGAACTTACCTTGTTGTTTTCTGTCTGGTGGCAAAGTCTTAAAAGTAAACATTTGTGGATTACAATATTTCCTTTAACAGCTCAGTCACTCAAAATCTCCACAAGTATGTGTTCTAAATCATCCCAAAAATACCCTGTTTATGAGATTCTAGAAACCCAAAAGGAAAATGGTGGCATTCTTCATTTTTTCAAAACAAAAAAGATAAAGCAAAAAAACATTTAGGAATATAAAGAAAAAAGTAGGATTATCCAAGAATCCATTTCTCACATTCCATATATAAAATGTATTGTACCAAAAACCACTATATAAAAACCATGGTACAATTCCATAAAACATTGCCTTTCCATATGTCCCAAACCCCAACTACATGTAAATATGACAATATTTACATGTTCCTAAAAAAAAAAAATGTTGCTTGTGTAGTTGCATAATAAAACGTAAACAAATCACTGCAATTCTTTTTACAATCAGTTGCAGCAAGTAATCTGTAATCCTCTTTAGAATTAATAAGTGCAATAGATCATATATGATAAATGCTGTAATCCAGAGTGAGGCTTTAGGGTATACATCCTACCTTGTGATGAAAATAAATGGTACCCTTGACTGTAGACAATTGCAAAATCACAATCTTGTTGCTTTTGAATATAGCAGACATAATAGACATGTAGGGATGAGCTCAGGTTTGGGCCAAGCTCCGTCTGAACCTGATCTCCTTTAAACTTGGAAGTGCCATGGGGGCACCCATCCAATCCTCAGCCTGCAGCTCATTATAAGCAAAAGGGCGGGAAGCTTGTATTGACATAATTTAACCTTAAATGCCATTAACCAAATATAGCCATGTGACCATATAAGATCAGTGATGTCTCTGCATCCAGCCCCTTTGCTTACGTGCAGCTGCAGGTGGCAAATCCCCCGGCTGCAGCTGATTGGGTTGCAGAAGAATACAAAGGAACAGATTGTTTCCGCAGTGGGCTGTGCAAGGACCCAGTGGGGAAAGAAAAGGGGGCTTTTTAGAAACCAGTCCAGACCTCGTATATAAAAGTCTTAGAAAAACATTTATTCACTAAATTGTTGTATACATAGTTTAGAACCAAAAAATAAAGTACAAAATCATGTCATCAATAAAAATATATATCATTAATAAAAATACATATTGAATATGCAGGTTCACCGTTAGGTGACAATACCGTGCGGTTACGAGATATACGGTAACTTATTTTCAGATGATGTAAACGCTCCTATAGGTCCCTACATGTTTCGCCCCCAGAAGGGGCTTCTTCAGGGGAAAGAAGGCAGATCTCCGGGAGAACTGTATTCCTATGATAAAGATGGTAAACCCGTATATAGGGATATTAGAAACATGGAACTGCACCCAACTCACATATAAGATCACTTGTTTACATTGGTGTAAAACAGCAAGATTATACACACAGTATGAAAGTAATAAATAATAAGAATCAAAGTTGGATATATACTGGATGCTTACATGTATGTCCTCGCCAGATGTATAATCAAAGCAACAAAAACTAGATGACATGAAGCAGCTGCAACGAAATCATATAGGAGGTTGATTCTGTCGAAGGTAAACCGCCACGAACAACAATAGATGGAGGGATCGCGTCGGAGAACAGCACGCTACACTCCTCAGGGATCACGGGCAGCCGGTGAGGTACACTTAGGGGTCATGGAGTTCTATTAAGGGGACATATATAGACCAGATCTATGACCAGAAGTGAATAGAAAATAGATCATAGATCATATCAAACACATGTGAAAAAATAATAGCTCCTAATGGAGCCCATATTTTAAGTTCTGGGTGTTACAACCCTCTTCTTTCTCTTTTTTTACTTCATTTCTATTTGCAAACCACTCTGTATCCATTAGTGTCTTGCATACCTAAACCTGTTCCTTTCTTTTCTTTTTTATCTATTCCCCAAGAATATCTTCCCTCACATTGAATTTATGTGTTATTATTTTGAGTTATCCTTCACGTTTTGTGTTTTTTTGAGTGTTCTCACCAATGCAACCCATTTAAATTAATTTTTCCGCTTGATAATATGCACCAATGCCTCACGCTATTCACGTGATTAGCTTTAATACACTT